CCGGACATGTTCGGCTTTTTGGGATTTCCCCCCGGACAGGGATTTGAGGCCCAAAAAGCCGGACATGTCTGGGAAAATCCGGATGTATGGTAACCCTACGTGTAGAGCCGCCCCCACCCCATGCTACATCCCATGAGTCTGCCCTCCCCGCACCTTGGTAACATCCCTTATAGAAGCTGCCCCCCCTCCATGCTACACCCTATAGAGTCCCCCTCCCACACCGGGCATTCATGGCCCACCATACAATTTCCATACCCAGATGCGGCCCTGAGGCCAAAAAGTTTGCCGACCCCTGCCATAGACACTTAATGGATGACACAAGGATTAGTAAATACACTACCTGTTAAACCAGCATTGAAAGCACTGACATGCCTCTACTAAGTTGGGACTTTCAACTCCCCCCCGCTGCCACCGCCATATTGCCAACCCTGTGCCTCCCAAAATCATGAAGGAGGTCCCTCCCACATGAGATTGTCTTTTTTAAAATATTAATTTGGGGTTCTTTTTTATGTGCCTGCTGGGTTTAGAACATTTATGGATCATGTTTTCAAGCTTTTCTCCAGGGCTAGAAACTTAGCTTTGATTTTATTTAAAAAAAAGTGAGATTCTCACATAATCACAGGGCTCCAGCAGCTGGGGATTTTTAGAAAAATACCAAGACTCACAACAAACTCACAAGAGTTGACAACAACGGAATCCCTATTTCAGAGTAAGTAGAACAATCCCCTGTCTGATTCCCCTGGTCACTTCTGTAATGCTGTACGCAAGAGGAAAAAACAACCCTTTCTGATCAGAAATGTGGGTTTTGATGGCTCTAATTTCAGTGCGTGCAGGAACAAATGTTGTCAATGATAAAAAAAATGATGAGCTTCTAGATCCTTGGAGACTCAAATACTCTGGAATCTTTCTCTGGAGCTTTCTAGTCTGTGGGCTGGGGTTAGTTTCCGCCCTTTGATACATGGGCGCGGTTCTAACTGACTTCCGTGAACAAAGACTAGGCAGGGTAAGGAAATGTCAGTGGTCCAGCACCCCAGCTAACTACAGTTAATGAGTTCTAACAATCTCTCTGGAGCTTTGATGCAGAGACTCGTGCGAGCCCCTTGGCTTTGGTCTCTGTGATGGAAAAAATGAGCTTTCATTTAAAAAACAAAACAAAAAATAAGTTTCTAAGCCTGTTCTTGTGATGAGCCTGAAAACTGTAACTTGAAAGGAACAAGGCAGCCGTGCTCCACTTAGCAAAGAAATGTCGGCAAAACACTAGATCAGAATTTCAAATTCGGATGAGAAATTTTGATGGGAAGTTTTTGAAAAGTCCCAACACATTTTCCCCTTCCTCAGATTGTCAATATCTTAGTCACTTCTACAGCCAGAAGCTAAAGGGAACCAACAAGATATCCTCTCCCCCACCTCCAGCCCTCCAAGATAAAACTTATCTCGCACAAGGCAGGGGAGTTTGAGAAAGAATCAAATCACTACACGCGTGCACACACAGCCCAGATCTGTAACCCAGCTCCAAAACGGGTGGAGGGGTTTGGGAGCGACAGCTCCGCAAAAGAACTTACATTAGAACAGCACCTGCCCACTGCGAAGGATCAGCCTTAGAGACATAAAGAGAAGTGCCAGGACGGCTGGAAGAGGAATGTGAAGCAAGCGCCTTTTTCAAGAGAAAACACAAAATGTTCGTCTTACCTTGTAAGCTGCTGAGCACCACGAGGCATGCAAAGGTTTGAACAGCTGCCGCCATCTTCCCCAGCATCGCGGCAATCGAAATCCTCTAATCAAGTTACGTTGTCAAAGGACCTGATTCTCACTTACACCAGCCGTGTAAAAGGGCCTTTATATGGGACCAAATTACAGTACACCTGCATTAAGTCCCCGTTACACTGGGATAAAAAGGGCTTGATGTAAATGAGAGACAGGCCAGTCGATTTGAAAACAGTTACTTTACCGAGAAAGCGTAATGCGACAGGTGTGGCCGGATTTTCAACGTATCGCAAGAACAGTTGAACTTCCCTTTCTGCAGCGTGTGACAATTTGTCACAAAACCCACTTCCTTTGAGCCAAGATGCAGTCAACAGTGTATGAACACAGCATTTTAGGCATAGGCTACTGCGCAGAATCTAGCACAATCAGGGTCGGATTAAGACCTTTAGAGGCCCTAAGCACTGAAAAGATTATGGTGCCCCCCATATGTAATTCAAAATAAAAACAATACTCTACCGTAAAATAAAATTTTATTTTTCGAAATGACACAAAACTTACATGTATGCTGAAATTAAAATAGCTTCTTTCTAGATTTTCTGATTGCAAAATTCTGGATAAGTTCATCGAAGCTGACTCGACGAAACATGTCCGCTGCCATACACAATAGGGAAAGTGAATCAAGTCTGTCTTGACACATTGTTGTTCTCTGAGGGTTTTTTATTCTTTTCAGCTGAGAAAGAGCATTCTGCAAAACAGTTAGTAATCATCAATGTTAGAAAAATACATAGTGCGATCTCTCCATTTGGAAGTACATGTTGTATTCAGTCTTTCAATATTGTGTCATGAAGATCCATGTGACTGAATTTCATTTTTCCTGTTTCACTAAACTTTGCCCACATATAACAGTGGAACTGCCGTACTTCTCCACAGAGATTCATGTTCAAGTCAACAGGGTATGAGTCAACTAGCTTTTTGGGAACCTTTGTGAATATTGTAAAAAGCAACAGAGGGTTCCTTTGGCACCTTTGAGACTAACAGAAGTATTGGGAGCATAAGCTTTCGTGGGTAAGAACCTCACTTCTTCAGATGCAAGAGTATTTGTGAATATTGTTCATCAGATAAGACCATATTATTTAGAAAAGAAAATCTACTTGATACTTCTTTGTACACTTCACCTCCCCTCTTCATATGAGCTTCAAGTGTATCATACCCCGATAGAACGCTGTCCTCGGGAGCCAAAAAATCTT